CAAACAAACAAACAAACAATAAAAAACGTCCCCCGATACGGCAAGTTTATGGACGTACAACACTAAGATCTAGGGTTCGAGTTCCGGCGGTAGGCAGAGCGCATATAGCCTATTGTGTAGGTTTGTGCAAAAAATAATCAAACTAGCTGATAAAAAAACTGAAAGTAGCTATAACTACTGAAATAAAGTCATTATAAATAATAAAGCCAAAATATTTCTTATCATCAAGAAGAATTGACAACCGTAGAATACTGATAAATCCGATAAAAATAAAAAAAATGTTGTAATCATGAGGATAGATACAACTAGAAGTACTGTTGCAGTTCTGGTGAAGTTTAGCTGAAAGTAGCTGTCCAGATAAAGATTTCAGAAACTGGAAAATAATTAAACCTTGGTGAAGATCACAAAAGTAAAGATCATTATTTTCGGTTGTACCTATTTCTAAGATGACAACCACCTTTTATGAAGCCACAGGTAGACTTCTTTTAACAGCTGTAGAAAATTCCACTATTTGTTTAATTATCCAGACTGAATGTTTATAGACCAGTTAAGAAAGAAAGTTCCGCGTGTACCAAACACTGCCTTTGTATTGTAGTAACAAACCAGTTGGGAAAAATTCTTAGTGTACCAAAACTTTCCTTGTACTGTAGTAATAAACCAGTTGGGAAAGAAAGTTCCGAGTGTACCAAAAACTTTCCTTGTATTGTAGTAACAAACCAGTTGGGAAAAAATTCTTAGTGTACCAAAAACTTTCCTTGTATTGTAGTAACAAACCAGTTGGGAAAGAAAGTTCCGAGTGTACCAAAAACTTTCCTTGTATTGTAGTAACAAACCAGTTGGGAAAGAAAGTTCCGAGTGTACCAAAAACTTTCTTTGTATTGTAGTAACAAACCAGTTGGGAAAGAACGATCCGATATACGAGATTATTTTCATGTTAATTTTAAAAGTATTAAAACAATATAAAACTCTTAATGAAGCAGCGAACGATTAATGAATTTAATATACAACAATTTTACAGCAGTGTTAGTCCCAACTGTTTATCTTCCTCATTAAATGGTTTGTATTGTATAATTAGCTTATATTTTAAACATATTGTAATTGTATATTATTTTACTTTTAGCTCTACTGACACACCTTTAGAGGCAAGCCCTTGTAACCAGATTAGACACAATTTTAGGTTATATCACTTCAGACGTGTGGTTGATCTGCTTCTGTGTAAAAGTTATTCGTACTGTTACGCCTTCGTTCGTTAGTTAATTTTCCGTATAATTTCTTCCCGAAGAAACTTTACCGATACAAGTCCTTTCTTACATAAAGCTGGTTTATTCTTTCTGAATACAACTTTGCGATACACTTAATTTCAACAGTCACGTATAACAAACGCTATAACTCACAACGAACGTCTCACGTGCCCAACAATATTCTCTCTGTGCGCAGTTCAATTACTCAACACCTTATTGCCGTCACGTTGTGACCGTCTTATACATAAAATAATACCGAGATCTAGTAAACTCCCGATATTTCAGGAAGGGACGTGAACGTTTGAGAAGCTGGTGGCGTGATACTAGGGTCACGTGACCCCCGATGTCGTAACAGTACTTTATACAATAATAATATGCACTGTAACCCTAACGTGTAGAAGTTCAGTCAGTACGAAAACAGATGGGTGGCTTTTATTAAATATTTGTGTCATAAAGATTTTTTTTTACTTGTCCTAAAACGACTTTAGGAAATCACGTGATCTGTGAAATTATGATTTATTTGTCTCAGTAATTTTCGAAAATTTTCTTTCTTGGCTGAATACGCTTTTAAATTAGCTCATAAAACCCGACTGAAGCATATACCATTTCTATAAGGCAACACATAACCCATTGCTATTTTAGTCTGATGATTCATGTTAAGGTTAATCAGGTGTTTATTCATAAGCTTCGTGCTTTTCATTAATATTTTATGTCTCTCTCTCTCCCTCTTGTGTTGATAGCAAGATATTCACTTACAATCTAGTACTGGACGAAATACTTTATTCCGATGTTATTGAAAGTATTCGCGTTGAAAGGCAAAGCTTTAAGATGTACGTTTGAATAGAAATATAAAGCTTATTCAAATATTTAAACAGAGAATCAAAAATATAGACACGTGTTTTGGTAAAAACGTTTAGAGTAGTAATCAAAGCTCCCTATATGAGTTGTCAATATGTTTTCTTCTCAATTTTAGATTCCGAGATTACATGAATCATACAAATGCAAGCTCACGGCAAGTGACAAAAATAACAAAAAACTATATGATAAGATCAGAAGAGGTCCTAAATACATTAAAGAACATTTAAATAAATATACAGTGAATTACAAAAAAAGAAGTAATATTTTTCATTACATTTACATTTTCAATTCAATTCAATTTATACCTAAGTATTAAGATTTTTAGGCTAAAACAATGGAGACTTTGACTCAAGCAATCTTTATACCAGTTTACTGACTGACAGAAGATAAACCTTTCTATTTTAATAGTTACAAGTTTAAAGGTACGACTTTTTCTCGCTCATTGTTTTTTCACTAGTTGTTTATTTTTCACTTTACAACACATCAATTCTTTCGGTTTTCGTATATTCTAGTCTAATGTTTAATGTTTTTTCTTTCTTAACTAATATCAAAACGTACTAGGAAAGCCTAGTAATTATGTGCTCTTTAGGCATACACAAATATATTGACAAGATAATTATAAGAACTTATAAAGTTTTTCTTGACACTACTAAACTTATATAACCACCAAAGTTTATTTTTAATTTAAGTCTCTAACTTTTGATGAAATGAAACTTTAATATTTCTACGTTTCTGAATATGAACCTTTCAGAAAAGGCTATGTTGCGTCAGCGAGTCACATGACCACGTGACGCAACGTTTCTAGAATTATCATGTACTTTGTCGAATGTTCAAGGTCTTACTAGAAATAGGTTACGCTGGTATAAAAGCGGGGAAGGTAATGTGTGTGCAGTCAGATAGATAGTGAGTAATTGATCTGCGGTCAGAGTATTATTGACGTTCGTTGTTACAGTGTTGTTTTAGCGCGAGTATTGAGATTAAGTGTATCGCAGAGTTATTTACTTAATAAAACTGGTTTATTCTTTCCGAATAGACTTGTGTCGTTAAAGTTTCGTTGAAACGAAGTTACCGGAATAAGTTAATTAAAAAAACGGAAACGTAACAGTGGTAACAAATAGTTTCTCTTTTTCCATATTTTATAGTAAACTTGCGTTTTAGATTGGAACTCTTGGCAGATGTAGAAAGAAGAATGGCTAGTTTGATCTTTTCATCAACCAATTCACTTTGAAAAGTATTATTATTTCAACGATTTATTATTTTACTTCTTTGATTTTATCATTACAGTCTTTCTGTACTTCTTCAGTTTTGTTATTACAGCATTTCTATATTTTGTTGATGCATTTCTATTCGTCTTCGGTCTTGTTGTAATCTCTATATATATATTTTTCAGTATTTTCATGGATCTTATTTTCAATTAGATTCATTTTTTTTAAATTCAAAAATATGATGCCACGTTAAGAGTGCGAAACGTTATTTGTAAATGATATATTTTTCATATTCCATTTTAGCTGTTTTTGAATTATAAATTATATAAAGTGTGGCATAACTCTAACATTTATAGATTCGTTTTCTTTTTCATAATTCTTCTTTAAATATTATTTATGTTTCTCTTAACTCCTATCTTAAATTCCCATATTTCAGTTTTCTGTCTCTTTCTTCTTGATCTTTGTTTCAATGTTTCGTCATCTCCAGCAAACGTTTGAGCTCATTTCATAATTGGGTTGTCCTCTTGAAGTTAGAATCCAGGCAAAATTCTATTTTATTTTCACAAAAATAAAAACACTTGCGACATCACTATTATAACATGTTCTATTGTTGGGTGGCTTCTCTTGGATTACTTTGTAAAATTAAAGTCAAGTAGTGTCCACGTAATGAGAACAAATTAGTTTATTTCTTATTTAACGTTTCACTTGTAGATCGAAATTCAAAAACAATTTTTATAAATATTTTGAGTCTAATGGCATGTATAACTCACTAATATTCTTGTTAACTTTCCTCTTGCTAATCGACTCATATAAAACATGTTAAACTAGCTCACTGTTTAGCTTACTAGTTGAATCATGGAACTTATAATTCACTGACTGGCACTGAATTTATTCACTCATTGATACACTGAATACTTTAGTGTTTAACTAGCGCTATAACTGGAACTTATATAATTACTTGTTGTATATTTACTACGTGAAACTTCTAGATTCCCAATTTTCTTTAAATTCTTAGTTGATGTTAGTACACGCTCTCTCTAGTAACAAACATTTAAATTAAAATCA